ATTGGCAGAGCACCACGGCCTCGAAGAAGAAACCACGAAGAAGTCGCAAGACGCAAGTTGAAGAAGAAGATGACTCCAGGACACTTCACGTAGATACCTGCAACACGAACAATTTATTTCTAGGGTGCTCGTCAACTTGATTTAATCTTCAAGTGGGCCATTGGGTTAGGCTGTTGCAACTTCGTTTAATTTTAAACTAATAATCGTATCAAGCATTGACTTGAAGGGTTCGCATTCGTCGTTCGAAGATTTGACGATCCGTACAATCCTATCGCTATCGTGCAAACAAAAAATTTGTTCCTGTTTATCATTCTAATTATTGGACTGAAGTCGAAAGTCCGTTTTTAAGTTTAATGCTGACGTGACAGGAGCTTGTTAGATATTGTTTATGACAATTAGACTGCGGGTTTTTTTGTCTGAATTTTTATAAATAAAATTTAGAAAAATGATTCGACTAACTATCATATAGAATATTGTATTTTACATATTTTTTGCATGTATTTACATGCTTCAAACTTTCAACAAGCGTACAAAAATCCGCAGTATTAATAATAAGAATAGTTTGGATAAAGGTTAATACCAAAAGAAACGGAGGGAAAGAAACACTAACTGACAGACCTATTAACTGGCTAATTGATTCAATTGGATCATTCCGACACGGATGGCGTGTTAAGAGGTCGCATCTAGCAATTAATTATCATCGAAAGAGCACGAGCCTCGATTGAAACTGGAAATAAATTCGAAGCTCTGTCCTCATTTCGAAAAACCTAAATAAACAAACCTCTTCTCTTCTTTTTTTTTTTTTTATGAAATCGTCAGTTTGCGAACGGCAATTTGAAAGGAATTTAACGAAGATTACGTAGAAGCGAGAGGTCGGAGAACGAGGAACGATGGAAGGTGTACGCGCGCAGTTCCGCGAAACGGAGATTCGAATCAGCTAGGGTGGAAGGGAACGAAACGAGAGAGGGAGAGAAAGTGAGGCTCAACGGCTCGAGAAATTGAAACGAGGAGAGATTTAGAGAGGAAAGATACGTCGTAGGAAGAGGCGAAGCAAAAACCAAGAGGATCGGTCAATGGACCCTGAATCCTACACGGCTTCTTGCTTTCGGCTATGTATTACAAACAGATTGTTTCGACAGTGTCGCTGTTGAAACGCTTTTCACTGCAGGAGAATTTTTGAGACGTTCGTACGCCAGGATCTCCTGGTAAGCTGTTGTTCATATAACGAATCATTTCTAATACCTCGACAAAATCAAAGGAAGACTCTCCGTTTCGTTTCCACTGGCCCCTAAAATTTATTCAACCTTTCGAATTAATCGAGAGGTGATCGAAATCCTGATCCGATCGTAAAGGACTTCCAAAAGGTGCCAGTGATATTATTCGACGTTGTGAATATTGACAACTAAAAATAAAAGAGGCCGTGAAATCGGGCAAAGAGAGGAGAGAGAAAAAGAGAGAAAGAGAGGAGGAGGTAAATAACGGCACTGCGGCGTGTTCGAGGGAAGCTCGCAGACGCTCGAAATCGAAGCTTTTAACGAGAAGTGCAGACTTATTTGACGGTGCAGCGACTGCGGGGCGCCCGCACGCTCCTCCCTCCCTCCTCCACCACACTCGCCCCCCTATAAATAGACTCGGCACTACCACGATTGCGGCCCTACATCGTGCGGCTATTTTCGACAGTGGCATATCGCCACTCGTTACAGTTCTCCGTACGACCGCTCCACAACGAGTTGCCATCGGCGACGACTCCTCGGACCAAACAGCGAACAAAGACACGGGACGCGCTGTTTACGCCGCGAGCAACAAAAATCCGCTGGTCTCAGACCTGCTGCTGCTCCTCTCCTCTAGATCGCGCTTCGCCCCTCCTTCATCACGTTCACGTTGTTCAAGTTTTTCTAGAATGAACATTTATCTCGATTTAGTAGGTGCGTAACCTAATAACTAAGCGACAGTGAGAAGAAGTGTGATAGTTTTAGCGTGGTACCCGGCTGAAGATCTCAAGATTCTCTTCAAGAGTGACCTCAAGTCTAGCGACTTCCTCGGCTTTCTCGACATTATCTCAATGGGAAACTAGGTCTATCTAGGTCTATCTTGCTGCGTAGTAAGCGTACTTCCGCGAGGATGGTTAACAAAAATACGCAGGTCAGAATCTCTTCTACGTTTCTTCGGCGATGGTAATGATTACTCTGTACGGCGTCGGTGCTACGTAGAATATCCCACGGACAGAGAGGATGTTCAGCTCGCTGAGACTGACCACCATGCGCTCGCACAAGAACCGTGCTCGGCCAGGAAGCATGGCCACGTCCGCCAGCTCCGACTCGGCACGACCCGACGAGATCTCGCCTCAATCTTATCATACGCACAGTTTCCTGTTGCTGGACGATCAGGATAGTCCTGTGTCCACTCCCTCTAGCGTATCCTCCAAGGTCGCCCAAGTGAGAGTGGAACGTGAAGGAGGAAGTCTCGGAGTTACCCTGAGAGGCGGTGTTTCTCGAGCTCTGGTAGTCACCGGTGTGAAGTCTGACGGACCAGCGGCGAAAGAGGGAAGAGTCAGGCCCGGGGACAGATTACTGGCTGTTGACGATACCGAATTGAGGGGTCTGACGTTGGCAGAGGCGCAGCGAGCACTCAGGAGGAGCTCTGATGCTCCTGTCGCTTCTTTGACCATTGAGTATGACGTTGCTAACATGGAAGAGGCCAGGGCAGCTACCTCCGGTCCTCTTCTAGTGCAATTGGAACGTGGACTCTCGGGTACCTTGATAGATCAGTACATTTTAGGATTCAACTTAGAGCGGTCAAGCTGTATATAAATATAACTGTAAATATATATAATTCCAGGGGAACTGGGCCTAACAGTAAGAGAGACGCCAAACGGAGTCTACATTGAGAGTTTGAGACCAGCAAGCACAGCAGACCGATGCGGCGCCTTGCAACCTGGAGACAAACTACTTGCTGTGGACGAAACTCCTGTCCAGGATGCAGTGACGGCTGCCAAACTTCTCAGAAATAATTTCGACTCTCGCATAGCCAGGCTGCAGATATTACCTAGGCCACCGAGTGTCTCCCAGAGGACTGTGAAAAGGAGAGCGCAGCCACAGGCACAGCAAACCTCCACTCAGACTTTGCAGACTAAAGAGAGCCTAACCGTGGTTCTTAGACCCGATCATAAAGGATTTGGACTTGCCTTGAAGCTTGCTGAAGACCATCTAAGTTACATCGTTAATCTGTTAGAGGCTGGAGGACCGGCTGAACGCAGTGGAGTTCTTCTGCCTGGAGACAAGGTGCTTGCGATTAATCGCAGAATGCTCAGAGATCTTCAGCCAGCCGAGGTGACTGGCATCTTGGAAACTTCTCAAATGGTGAGACACAGTAATTAATATAATTGTATTGTAGTCATCGTCCATGTTTGTTAAAATTATTCGTATCTTGTATAATCCGTTTTGTTTTTCTTTCTTGTCTCTTCCGTTTATTTCAATCTCCAAGTTAAAATCAGAAGCTCCACTTTCTCGACAGATTGAATTAGTGACGGAGTATAAGGTCGGTGGTCCAGTTGTTCCCAGTTCAGGAGTGTTTACAGTGCGAGTTGCAAGACCGATAGGTGGACAGCCCGATGTAGGTCTCACAGTGAACGAGGATTTGATCATTACGGAGGTGCGCAAGGGATCTTTAGCTTACAGAACCGGTAGTCTAGCTCCAGGAGATAGGCTACTGGCTATAGACGGGCAAAAACTAGACTCTGGCGATCTCAGACAAGCTGCACAGCTTTTACATCGTCCAGGGAGCTCGGTTATCGCGCTGACCGTGAGGAAACCGGATCCTAGCTCGGAAACCAGGTAACGATATGACCTACAACTTCTTCCTAACTCTTGTTTCCTTTTAAGGTAATAAGTCGTAAGTAAGTTGTACGAGGAAATAATGATGAAGTACTGAATTTTGCAGAGAATACTGCAAGGACTCCAGTATAGGAAGCGATTCGGTGCAACAGTATCCTTCAGGGATTCTTCGGCCAGCTAGGGAGAGTCTACCAAGTGTAGACAGCGCAGTGGATTCCTGGGGAGAGCTGGGAGAAAACAGTGGAACAGGTCCGGAGATTTTGAGGCTCTGGGATACAGCTTCAGTGGATAGCGGTCAACTGGATCTACACATGCCACCTTATTCTGCGTAAGAACAGAATTCATAAAATTTTTTTTTTTTTATTACACGATGATTTTCTACTTAAAAATACTTTTCTAAGAATAATGATTCACTTTATTCTCTCTTTCCACATTCTCAGGCCACAAGAATGTAACAATCCAGATAGACCTCAACAGATAGTTCATGTCTCCTTGCACAAGGATCCAGTATACGAGGACTTTGGCTTTTCCGTGTCCGACGGTCTGTACGAGCGTGGAGTTTATATAAATCGTCTTCGACCTGGGGGGCCCTGTGACGGCGTTCTAAAGCCTTATGACAGAATTCTGCGCGTCAATGAAGCGAGCACCGAGGACTGTGACTGTTGCTTGGCTGTCCCGTTGATCGCTGCGGCTGGTCCACGTTTGGATCTCACTATAGCCCGACCGATGTCTCCTCCTAATATTATGAAAACTCTGTGAAGGAGAACAAGCCGACGTGACGGAACGGTGTAACAAAGAAAAACGGTGGTGAACATATCTGGTATATTTTTATACACACCTGTATTTTATTTATAAAAATAAATGTATAGATTGCTTTCAGCTAGAACATCTTCTCCTGCATACAATTCACGCACACTTTGAACACACTCTTGAAAATCATCAAGTGACACTTGTTTAACCCTCTACGAATTAGAGTTCTAGAAGATGGTATAATTGCTGGAATTAATATAATAAGGCACTCGACATCTACGACTGGATTTAGTGAATGTAATTTAATTAAATTAAAATCTAGAAAGGATCAGTCCGGATTCTTCTGATCTTTCAAACTACCTTACTCTATTTGTTCCATCAATTATACTTTCAAACTTTATAAATTAGTATATACAGTATATATATATATATGAAAAAAAAAATATTATTTCAGTGGCAACATTCTCTACAAGCGAAAGTCTAGAGTATTATTAAGATAAATTTTCATAGAGGGTTAAAGTGTTGTAACAATCTAAGGAGCTGATGAAATTGAATCGCAATACCCGAACTAGTAACTGGACGAAGATATTTAACTCCAAACCTAATCAATACTACGTGTATACATTGCTCAATATCGATTGAGTACAATTGAAATATTCGATTTCTATCTATTCATCATTGTTATCGCGACAGGGGAATGTAATCGATCTTAGAGGCTAACTGACCCAGCAGTTAACCCTGATATATTATATAGTCCCACCTTGCCAGCAAGTCTATTCTCCCTACGAGAAGCATCGTTTTAAAATAATATCTAAACCGAACAAGAAAACCAATGATGAATTACCTTTTGCGCAGAATGTATATAAATATTTCTGTCATCATATGAGTTTTGATCTGCGTATATATATTTAATGGAGACGCTACATATATTCCCTCATCACACATGACGTCCTGAACACTATGATTGAAATACTATGTAACAGAAAAAACTCATATGAATTTGTCAAGTATAAAACGAGTTGAAAAAAACTCAGACTAGACTGCAAGCAACTGCTGCTTATTTCCAGTCCACCCGTTTACCATAAAGGAACTACTGCTACCGTTACGGCTTTTATCGTAATACTTCGGAAGACTTTCTTTCTCCGTTCTCTGGTCGTATTTCGCCTTATTGTAGTACAACACACCGAGAATGGCCAATGTCATGCCGAATATATTCAACCATGTCACTGGATTTCCAAGCACCAATAATGTTACCGCGATTACGAATATACGTTTGCTTGCGCTAGCCACTGCATAAGTTAAAGGGGTAACAATAGACAATACGGAGAACGCGATAATGTTTTGAAACCAGTTCAACACACCATCCAGGAATAATAGACCTATTATGTAGTAATTTAAGTCGGCAGATTCGCCAGTAACTGGATCGTATATCAATCTCCTCAGGTCATACAATAGCCATATAGGAGAAAACAATATTAACGCCAGACGACCCAACATGAACAGAAGCCATAGGTGATGTATCCCCGTGTCATGAAGCACCTGAAAACAAATATTATATTAGTTATCTCGTTGATCCACAAACATAAGGCAAGTTTTAAATCAGAGAAAGTTACCTTCTTCGAGTAAATGTTTTGCAATGAGAATGCCATGGTAGACGCTAAGGCACTCAACAAGCCGATCATATTGAAACTGAGCTCCGTAAGGGTGGCTACAGCCACACCCACCACAATCGGGACTAGACTAAGATACACTTTCCAAGTCTGCTTCTCCTTCAATATGATTCTCGACAGGAACACCGTGAAGAACGGCATTGTAGCCTTTACTGGGACAGAGCCAAACTTCAGTTAATATATGATACTTACAAAATGAAACAAGATAACAATGAAACAAGATAAATGTAGAAACTACTTCAAAAATGCATCTATCACAGTTTTATTTAATGATCAGAAGAAATCTGTGTACTCTATTAGATAAGAGTGCAGTTACACAAATAGTTCATCTCTAGATCTTATCTTCCTAGATAAGAGTGCAAAGTTACACAAATAACTCATCTCTAATTCCCTGCATTAGTGAACTTATTTCTCAATGTCAAAATCTAACAAAACAATTTCTCAAACAAAATCTATTCCAAATTACACATTTAGAGAATTTGAGAAAAAACGATTAACACAAGTGTCGAAGCATTTCTTTTCAAACATTTGGATATATATATATATATAAACTTGGATATATATATATATAT